TTACAATTTTATAAAGCCTTGATAATACCTTTGTGTGGAATTTCTTGATTTCGTTCAATCATCCTAATTTGATCTAGTGTCCTAATGGCTGGAGATAACCCACCATGTACACAAAGTACTTGGTCGTCGATTAACTAAATAAAAAAATGTATAGTTTATTATTAATCATATTAATTCACATACGCAGTAACTTCATTTATTATTTTTTAATACTAACGGCAGCAACTGCTAGTAAGTCGAACACTTTACAGCAATATTTCCATGCATTAGCATTGCCATATTTATTTTGACATTCATCTGCATTGGACATAATAAACAATCAAATACAATAAGATATTATTAATATGTAATGAATTCAGAATGAAATATTCTCTCACCATAAAAACCATAAACATGAGTAATTTGTCTCGATTCATGATTTCCTCTAAGCAATGTTATTCTATCAGACCACTTTGCTTTAAGTGTAAGTAGGCGTGTAAATGTTTCGACGCTGTAATATCCCCTATCTACAAAATCTCCCATGAATATATAATTTGTTTCAGGCACGGCGCCTCCATTACGAAATAATTCTTCTAGATCGTAAAACTATAATAAATTAAATAAATTGCTAATGAACATACTTCACTTATCAGAATGGACATTCTTATCTCGAATGGACAGAGGTTAGAACATAACTATAAAACTTACCTGACCATGAATATCTCCACATACCGTTACCGGAGTGGATACAGGTTGGATATTTGATTCTTCCAATAATATGTCACATACAATGTCACAAAGTTTCTAAAATAAAATTGATTTCATTAGTATTAAGAGGAATAGTAACCGTTGCAAGTAACCTATGAGATTACACATTTCTCATGTAACAAGATTAACATGATGTAATCCAATTGATGTCAAAACAAATAATACCCTGCATATTTTCTTTACCTTGAGGTCATTTTCGGGGAGATATTTGCATTCTTTTGCAATTTCCATCCATTTATCAATGTCTGACATTTTGGACTCGTATCGCAGGAAAATACTATTTGCGCCCTCACTTACATATGTACATACATACGTGTGCACTAGATTTGTAATTAATTTATATTTTTAAGAGCTACTTTTAACGAATCAGTTTAAATCAAACTTTCGATCTTTATTCATTTTATACACAAACCCTGCTCAACGAGGAATTGTTCATCGCGTTCAATCGCGTTAGACGCGAATCTAATTTAAACCAATGCGAGGCAAGTTTGAAGAGAATCAGATTTGCTTCCTCCAATATGTGAATTTTATTGGCTTTAAACTATATTACTATGAAAAATAGAAATATGCTTGAAATTCGTTTGCACTATTGCCTGCAATATTATATGACGAGACTAGAGACATTGTAGTAATGTTGCAGCAACACTATTTGAAATATTGCGATCTTGCAGCACAATATTATTGCAACGTTGTTGTAATGTTGAGTGCTGTTGGGGATATTACAATTTGTATAATGTATCAATATATATATATATAT